CAGGTAAAACATCACCAATAGCTGCAAGTTTTTCAGCCAACTTTGGAACATTGTTCTTCTTGAAATCAGATAGTTGTTCGACGTTGTTCAATGCTGGAACAGTTTGTTCAGCATTCTTCAATTCGTCTTCCAAATTTTTGAGTGCATCCAGAAGTCTGTTCAGTTCTTGTTCCTCAGCAATCTTCTTAGCCAAATCTTCAGAAGTTGCGTCAGCCAATTGCTTCAAGTTATTAAGAAGTTCATCAACCTTCTGTCTTTCCGAAGATGGCAGTGGAGCTTCTGATAATGATGATAGTTTGTCGGACAGCTCCTTAATTCGGTTGAGTTTGTCTTGAAGAACAGCGACTGTTTCTTCTTCTGGTTTGTCAGACTTCTTTCCTTTACCCTTCTTGCTCTTCTTTGATGGGGCAGGTGTAGCAGTGAGACTTCCAAATTGTTCAGTAACATCAGCTAATTCCTTTTGAGCTTGCTTAACAGCTTCTTCATGTTTCTTCTTAGCGTCCTTGGCTTCATCAAGCTTGTGGCGAAGTTCAGTCTGTTGAGTTTCAGGCAACTTTTCAAGATTGCGTTCCACATCAGCAACATCTTCTTCCGATAACTGATCAAGAGGCTTTTGAGTTAATTGAGTAACTTGAGCTATCAATAGTTGAGCAACTTCCTCTTGTTCAGCTTGTTTTTGAACAGCCTTAGCTTCTTGTAACCTTCCGTCCAAGTCAGGTACTTGTTCACAAAGAGCAGGAACTTTGTTTGACTGATCAGGCTTGATGTGCTTGTTTCCAGCTTGAAGTTCTTCCTTCTTATTCTTCAGAATATCAATTTGGGAACGAATAGCTGGAATTTCGTGAATTTCCAAACTATCGATTACTTCAGCAGCAGGGTTGGTAGATAGAAGTTGATTGATTTGTTGAAGCTCCTTTTCGATATGCTCAATAAAATCGTTCAAGCTCTTCTCTTCCTCAATCTCATTTGCTAATTCGTCCAAGATTTCATCATACTGTTTGTTGGTTTGTTCAGCATCAACATCAATGAATCGAACATCAGTAAAGGTGCATTCCAGAGGGTTGAGAAGTTCAGACAAGCGTTGCAAGTTACGGATCTTGTCGGCCAAAATATCAGCAGATTTGTTTGCTTCGCTCAATTTCTGTAAATCATCCTTAGCATCATCAATGCTACGAACGGCTTTTTCCAATGCTGCATCGAGTGGTTGACGAAGACGTTCCAACTCTGCGTCAGTGTCGTTACGAGCATCAACGAACTCATCCCATGTGTTGGCACGATCTTGGAGAATGGGAATAATTTGATGAGCAGCATCAATGGCTTGTTGAAGTGCTTGAACTGTTGGTTCATCAGATGGTGCATTAGCCACAACATTCTTAGCAACTTCAACTTCTTGGGCCAATTCGTCGGCTGAAGGTCGGTATTGTGATGGAACTCCTTGGGCATCTTGAACTAAATCATTAGCAGCATTAACCAAACTGGCCAATCGTGATTGAGCAGGTATGGTCTTCTTGTGAAGCTCTTCAAGATCTTTCTGCTTCTGCTGACGATCTTCCAAGGCTGCTTGTCGTTTCTGAAATTGATAATTTGATAATATAGAAGTTGTAGAGAAAAAACAAACCTCAAGCAATTCTTGAGCTTTGCTCAAACGGTTCAGCAGTTCATCATGTTCTTTCTTTTGAGCATCATCGAGAATGGCAACATCAATATTGGCAACATTCTCATGAAGCTTGTCCAACACTTCACGATCCTTAGCAATAGCTTGTAACAATTGTTCTTCAGGTAAGTCCTTTGGCTCTTCGGTATACTTTGATGTGATGGCAAGCAAGTTGTCTTCAGCATCTTTGCGAGAACTGTTGAAAGCAGCAAGTGCAGCCATTTTGTCTCCAACCAAATCACCAAGTTGCTTCAGCAGATCCTTCAAACGTGAAAGATCCCATTGACTCTTCTGTCGTTGTTCGTCTCCTTCTGGTCCTTCAGGAAGTTCGCTGATCAATGCTTCAAGACGAGCCTTTGAAGATTCTAAGTCTTCAAGAGATGCTTGTTGCTCAACCAATGTTTCAGGTAACTTTTCAGGTCTGCTATTGATGGATTGAGCAATAACCTCAAGTTCTGGAGCAATCTTGTTAATCTTGACAGTATCAGCAAGAGCAGCTTGTTTTTGGGCAGCTTCATCAACCAATGCAACTACTTGAGTATTCAAGTTTTGTGCCAAGTCATCATCCTTCACTAAATCCTTGTTCTTGTTGTTCAGATCGTTTTCGTGAGATTCAATGTCCTTAGCAAGTTGATCGATTTGTTCTTTAAGGTTGTCGATAACTGGAACAGCTCTCTCAGAATCAGCAACATTGATATTGGCCAAAGCATCAGCGAGCTGCTTCACTTGATTATTCAAGTTCTTATTATCTTCACGAAGTTTGTGCTCTTGGGGTAAAACCTTTTCCAGAGGAGAGGCCAATTTCTTAGCCTGCTCCTTAATATCGTTAGCAGTACGAGCGAGTTGAGGAGTTGTTTTCTCGAGATCATTCGTATCGATTGATCCAATAATCTGTTGTAGTTTAGTCAATTCCTCGTCGATCTTATCAATGGATTGTGGCTCAGTCAACTTCTTGAGAATGAGTTCAACATCTTCCTTATCCTTGTCCAATTTAGCTGTAACATCTTCTAACTTTTCTTGAGCTCTGACAGCTTCATCAAGCTTAGCATCAGCATTAGCATTGATATTATGAATTCTGTCAACAAGTTTCTTCTTCTGCTCATCCAATTCAGCAGGTAAAACATCACCAATAGCTGCAAGTTTTTCAGCCAACTTTGGAACATTGTTCTT